GCACACTATCAATACACTTAGCTCTGATATTCATCTTGGGAAGCGTTCCACTTGCAGCATTAATGTTTTAGACCCAGCTAATGTGAAGTGGATGGTTACAGCATGTTCTTTGGGATTGTTTCCTGGTAATTCTGTCCTTCTTGCAATTAGAGACAGCCTGTTTTTTGTTTTGTTTTTGCAGCTAATATAATTTCCTGTTTTCAACCCAAAGTCTCCCCACTCCAGGATCACCAGTCTCTAAGTAAAGGAGCAGACGCTTGGATGATTTCTTTGAAGTGTGGAAGAGCAGGCTTAGGTATACATGTAGTTTAAGATGTACTTTGGTAAATTAGATTATTTACAACTTGAGGAAGAGCAGTTCTGCAGAGTGACCGGTTCGGATTTTCAGCACCATGGACAGCGTCTGTGTCAAACTCACCCTGATATCAAGGACAGACTGTGGTGTGCCGCTCGCGCCATTTCGCAGCCTTTGGTTCTGGTCTTCAGCATTTCGGCCCGTAAAGAGGGACAGTCCACAGTGATTTCTCCAATGGAGATGACAAGTTCACGGTACAAAGCCACGAGTGTGTTGAACTCTTGGACGATCTGTGTTGAAATGAAAAAAAGAAAGGGGGGAGAAGTTATTCCCTTTTGATTGAAACAACTTTTGGTTGAATTGTCCTGCCGTTTATTGTCAATGCACGTAGAACAGCCTTTATATTTGACTGACCTACAAATTAACTTGTCAAATCGGAACCGTGCTGTCCAAGAAATTGCAGAGCTGCACCAAATCTAGCCATGCTTTTCTATTTTTTTCCCCCAAAGTGGGAAGAAATAATGTGCATTGCAGGTGCATGGTGGGTTTATAGAAAAAAAATGGCAACCTTGCACAAATGTGGTCTCAAAGGATAGTTGATCTCTTAAGAAAACGTGTGAATAAGCAAAAAGTGAAGCATTCCCTTCAAAATGATCCGGATGCATGACAGACGAAAAGGCTTTTTTTTTTGTATTATTATCAAGGGTCCCATTATGTTAAATCTGGCTGTTTGCACAACCCCGGAGCTTGAGATTTAGGTGCAAATATTTCGTTCTTTTTTTTTCTATTTTCCAACTCCTGCATAGATTCCTGCTGCACTCCTGTATACGACCAGTAAGGCTCCGTCACGTACAGCAGACTATGATCATCCCTGCCAGCATCTGTCAGAAAACAGGAACTATATGTGTGCAATGATCACAAATAGCCCAGTAGGTAATCTTCTAATTAGGGCAATTTTGAAATGAACCCAAATTCCCAGAAGCTTTCCAAACTCGAAATGCAAATCACACAGTCAATCTGCACGCGGAGATGATCTGTTTGGCTTCACTGCCGACAAAGCAATGCAAATGCATACAGCTATTTTTAGGCTCACAGACCGGGCTACGGTCTTTTTTTTTGCAGCTATTAACAGCTGTCGCCTTTGCATACTGCATGCACGGGATAGTCAATCGTCCTAGAACAAAGACAGTTTTGAATAATAACGCAGCAGTTCTCAATACAGGCACCATGCAGGCACTGACGTGCCGCAAACCTACCATTCTGCAGTCGGCCACGGCGCGCTGGGCTTTGCGGGTACTCTCGGTGCTCTCCCTTCTCTCTGGGTCTCGGTACGGAGGTTTGCCGATCTGGAAGATGTTCCCGGCAGATCTGGGGCGGTTTTTGCGCCCATTCGATGCAGAACTCATGCATACACATCCACTAATAAAACAACCCTAATACAGAACGCTTCTGTCTTATTCCCCCCTTTAAACTCCACCACTTTCCGTCTTCCTGCCTCACCACCTTGCACCTCACTGTTCACCTAATTCTCTCCTCCGCTTGCTCTCAATTCACCTTCGCCAACTACTGGCTGGCGTTGAACCTCGATTATTGTTATTGCTCTGTCTATCTCTCACGTTCCTCCCCTCTAGTGTGGGAGAGGGAGAAAATATGTTCCCAGACGAGCCTCAGAGCGCAGGAGAAGTACCGGATGAGCGCCTGCGACTCCTCTCCGCATTGCCTCGACAAGTCACCTTCACTCCAGCAGCACACGGTGCACAGTGAACACTTCACACCCAACCCGGAGTCCAGCTAGCTGAGGTGTCTCCTCTGACGCACCGATGTCTGAAGGAGACGATTACATTCACGGATATTCTCCAAATGCAACCATTTTTTATGATTGCGCGTTTCCATTAAGCACCAATAAGACGGACGATAACGATCTTTCCTCAGCGCACAACCTCCTTATGGAGACGGAAAAAACGCTGCAAATGTCCCCGCTGACTATTCCGCAGCGCACAGCTGAGACTTTAAGCCTCTGTGATGGAGAAAATCTCAACCTCCCAAAAACTTCAATGCTGCTTTCACTTTAGCTCCAGTGTGTTCCTCTACTCCTTCTTCGAGTGTTCCCAGCCAGTCGGGCGGGCCTGTCTCTAACCTTGGAGAGGCAAAAGAAGACGAGCGTTTGCTACAGGCCTGACGTGGCTCTGAGGCTGGCAACACTGCGCACCCAAAGGACGGGAATACTAATAGGGCCCATCATGTCAGACCCCCGCCCTGAGCTGGAGCCAAAGAAAGCTTCTGAACAAGTTACATGTTTTAGCCACTTTGCTTTCACATAATAAATAAGTTTACAAAAAAAAATCCTATGCCATAACTCAGTAAAGACTTTATGTGGACTATTTTAAACTTATCCAAAAGTTTGAATGAACCCTTTTACACAGAGCCACATATATTTTAATACTGACATGCAAACCTATTCTATTGGGACAAATCTGTTTATCTGGACATCATTTATTATTTTCTAATTTCTACTCCTATATCATCAGCTAGACCATCAACACAATAGTCTCGTAATGTTTGAAGTTGCATTACAGAGAGGAAAGAGGAAATGTAGAAATGTAAAGGTTATGGAGCATTGTACTGCTTTAAAAGCTTCAAATATTATAATGCATTCTATTTTTATTACTTATTATCCTTCATACTGTACTATGTCTAACATGATAGATGGAGGAAGCATAAAAAAATTATACAGCACACAAATAGGGCAATGTGGCTTCAAATACACATACAGTATATATGAGTTAAATGTATAATTTATCAATAACTGTGGAGATGTGGTTTGTATGTTATACCTAATCAAAAACAACGGCTCAAATCTCTTAGCATTTGTCTTTCTTTTGCTAGCATCTGGGAATGCACCTCAATCCATTGGTGGCTTTCAGCAGAGACCATTTGCCCGTCCTTACTTTACACAACCACAAAGAGGTTCGTATGCGATTGATGTTCCGAATAAATTAGAAGTCCATTTCAGTGTATGGTGAGTGCTCTTTTTAAAACCAGCATTACTATTTAATTGTGAATGCAAAGAGAGATTTCCATTCCTGTGAGTGTTTTGGACATGCACCCACGGGCACACATTTCAATTGCAAGACTTACAGTAGGATTTCATGTCTATTTAAATGCATCACATTCTGCAGTGATCAAGTGTTTGATCTTGATGTCGGCATGTTAGAAATATTGTGTTGTAACACATGTCTACATTTCTCAGCAGCAAAGAGAAGGCCATTTCTTCTTCAGTATTTTTTTTCTAGACATTATGAGTTCATCTATTTGCAAATATGTGGCTTTCTTGAGTTGTTGCCTGTCTTCATATGCATCACATTTTGTTGGACATCTCTTTAAGAAATAATCTTTCAGGAATAACTCGTACCTGTGTTTTCAAGTAAAGAAAAACTACTTCTTGTACTTTTTTGAGTTATGCCAGAGGTGACGATTCATATCCACAGTGCAGCTCTTAGTTTTCAGAGGTCATTCCAGAAAAGCTCCAGACTTTTCTTACTACTAAAAAAACATACATCCTATAAGCAGTTCACAATATAAGAAACAATTTATTAAGATTTAACCAATGTTAAAGGATGCAGTCTATTCGTTTGTTGCTCACTGGTCCATTTACTTGATTAAAATTCCTGAAAGTTACTGAAAATGAACTTAGTTATCCATTTATTACTCATCAATATGGCATGTGCCATTCTTGAACTTGATTGTTATTCTATTCATGATTATTCAAGAGTGAGAACAATTTGTGCTTTGAGTGCAAAATGTGCTTTCTCTCATGCAGAGGGAAAATGTGAGGTAAGCCGTATTTGGTATCTAATTTTAATGAATGTAATAAACCGGCAATGTGTCAAGAAATAAATGATTTATTTGACAGTCACAGATAATTTCACATTGAAAAACCTAATTGTCTTCAAATTAAGTGTTCAAATTTAAACCCACGGATGCAAAACTGTATGTACTGCTGTTTTCTGTCAGTAAACTTTTATGCAACCAAACTCCCTCCTGGGGCTGCTCCGCAAAACAAAAAACAAGACATTATAACTTATCATTTAATGGATTAAAACGTGTAGCAAAAACACTGTTTGTTACTGTATATAGAAGCTGCCAATTGAAAATGTTTTAGAAGCAAATATATGCTGTGCAGTGGTGAATTGGAAAACAGAGGTTTATAAATCATAAACCAATGTTCTCTAACCCCTAAAAAAAGAGCAAATCTTTGATGCATTTAAATAAAAATCCAACCCAAACAATGCTCTTTGTGTTAATTCTGTTTCGTTTACTGTGTGTTGTAAGCAAAAGGATAATTGTTGAAGTATTGTTTGCTTTAAAGTAGTTCCTGGGAATAAGCCATACCTGTTGTGGAACTGAAACGTCATGTTGCAGGAGATTAACTCCCCTCTTCACAAGGGGGAAAACATGTTGTGCAAGCTACATTACATGTGCATCATGTGGAGACAGAGAACAGAGAACAATGGATTCCCAAACATCCCCTTTTCACAATTTCCCCATTTAAATCATTTATTAATGAGAAACAACAAGCTGGCACACTGTTGTTTACCCTCCACCACACCAGCCCCTGCTTGAATTTCATTGTCTTTCATTAGACCTCTGTTTGCCCCTCTCTCCTATATACAGTATATATATATGTAGGTCCCTGCCCCCTGCTACATCTTTAATTCCGTATTTTACCCTCAGCATTCAGTGTCTTCAGCCTCCACCAGTGTTGCTGGGAGTTTCAAAAAGAAGGGAAGAAGAGGTAGCAAAGGAAGCAGAATATGAAGAATCCAATAATCCAGTTGACAGAGTAGATGTAGATGATGACCATGTCCATGTCAAAGCGCCAGCCACGAGAGTCATCCTCAAAGTCCAAAGCGTCCAGACGGTAGCCTCCTCCATGGGGGAACTGGCGTCGAGCAATGGGGCTAGACGGCCTCTGGAAGCCTGGTGTGGGTGACAAATGAGTCTTAAAAACAAGATGTTTTTATTTATTTGACACCCAAAATGTATAGAAATTGGCATAAAATATTTTTCCACCTACTATGACTCACTAGTGACAGTGTCATTTGTATAAGTAAATAATTCTAAAGGAAAAACATTTGGGACCATTTAAATAGCTGTTGATTAGGGCCTGCTTTTCAAAAAGGTTAAAAGCAACATGTAGGAATTTGGTTTGGTGCGCTTTGTCGCCCCCAAAGGTCTCTGAGTGCAACTGCACTGTGGTAAAACATACATCGTGCTGTTAAGACCTCCCCCTCATCAATAATGTGCATTTGTTGACAAACAGAAGTAGCATACCCGTCAAAGACAGGTGACGTCAAAAACCGTGTCGATTGACTTTGCAAGCGTCTACAGCCCGTTGTTTGCATGTGAAGTATGAGTATGTGTATCTGTTACCCTATATCTATTAGCTCTGAGATAGCTTTGCAAGGTTCAGAACTTATCAAGATAACTTGAAGATTGACGGGGAAAGGGACAACTTTTTGGCAAAAGATGGATGTATTATTTTATTTATTTTTATGCAAGCCTGAAACATATTGGGTTAGATGACTTTCTTGCACCCATTTAGACTGCTAAACATGAGACAACGTTGACACCTGCTGCTTTGTAGCTGAAGGCTGGTTGTGAAGTAGTGCTGTAAAGCTGTAAGCACTTCTCGCAAGATGATAACGGCCTGCTACAAAACTTACATAGTGCAGAAAACAGGTGACCAGGACACTCTGTGGACATGGGATAGACGCCTATCTCCATGCTGAAAGTTATTCGGCTATTAGATCGAACTTTGAAAACTACTATTTTGAGGGGGGAAAGTTACATATTGTTACTTCTTGTCAAAATCTCAGCAATACCATCAAAGACTCCAGGGTCACGCCCTCAGAAATGTTTCTAGGAATGTAGAGGGTCAAATCAGTTGAGAAGGTCAGTATATTTGTAATCACCTCCTGGGATTTCTAATGGTTGTTCTTATCATTTTAGACTAAGTATCTAAACATTTAACTTCTCTAATTGTAAGTGCAGAGAAGGCTGGGAAACTTCCAAGCAGAAACCTCTGGTGTTGAAAAATGAAGCCAATGCAAAAGCACAAAGAACTGCAGTTCCTAGAGTGTCCACTTGAGGTTGGCTGCAAAAGCCAAGGAATCCCCACTAGATCCCATTTTAAAATGCCATTTTTTTTACTGCAGAAATAAACATGTTTACAGCCTGGATTAAAAATGTTTTTGGTCTCTATAACGCCTTTCTTCATTGTGAAACACTTTACCGGGGTGATTTCTTCTTATTAAGGAATCTGTTTTGATAATACTAGACTAAGAGTCAGACATCATTTTGCATAATAAGGGGCAAATCGGGGTTGACTGACAGGCTGAGGCTGTGCTGTAGTTATTAGCCAGGAGGCTTAAGATTGTCTCAAATCCCCCTCCGCCTGTTTTAGAGTGATGGAAAGTTTGGGTTGAGATAGCCTTTCTAAAGTAAGCCTTTCTTGAGGTTTCAAAAAGCCTCTTCAGAAACCAATGAGTGTGGCTTCATCAAGTTACAAAGACTTATCACTTACAACCATGGTTTGGTACAAATGGTTTAAGTAGGTGCTTTGATGTTGTGTTACTGTATTCCTTAGAACTGTTCAGCTCAGGTGAACCTTTTCAGTTAACGTTCAATGTGAGATTGTTGATCTCATATTGATATAATTTGTGGTAAAAGGTAAACAGTTGTACAAATTAGAGACCAAATTGTGGAAATTATCCACCCCTGCTTCCCCCTTAAGATTCCTCCAATACTCTGTGTTTAATAAAAAAGTATATGTTAAAGTGGGAAAGGCAGCCACTCACGTGAGCATTCTGTATGCTACACAGTGGTGTAACATGTAGCAGGTTCTCTCTTCTCTCAATCTTACATACAAGATTAAAGACATTTGAAAGTATAGCCTTTATTACTGAGATATTTTGCATGTATTGGTAATTTAAAACTTGCCTCCAAAGATGCGAAATAGTTTCCTACAGCTCGGCAGTGGCCACTTTGCACAACTTGCTTTCTGGAAATTCTGTTTCCGAGAAAGGTATTCCTTTGGGAAGAATGTCCTCGCTGTTTGGTTTAGCTCTGTAAAAAAAAGACAGGGGGGGAGGGACATTGCATTATCAGAAGTGCACATCTTTTTCACACCTCCACTGCTTGATGGCCGAGATAGATTGCGTTTGATTTATTCAACACATTTGAACTAAAGTAGCTGATGCAGCATCACCAGACCTCATTTTCTCCTTGTTCTGTTTCTGTGCGACCTTGGCTTTGGTAATCAACACAAGAATCTACTCTACAATCCTTGTCACCTAATCACTCACAAGAGCCCTTAGTGTGTCTGCAGTGCTCGTAACAATGGCCACTCTGCCTTTTTATGGCCACAGCAGTGTCCCTGCTGCCGCTCGATTTCTCCTACATACAGCCAGAAGTAGGCCAAAGTGAATCACAGAACTTCATTACTTATTCATAGCTTTGTCCAAATCAGACCATGTCCCATGCAATCAGTGTGCAGTGATCATGAGGTTACATAAAATACGTCCTACACTTCAAAGCATAAAAATATCATCCTTACAATACATTCTGTGACATCATTGTTTAAAGATGTTTCATAGATAGTTTCATTTTAACACTAAGGTGTCATTTTTATTCTTCTCTAATTTAAAAAAAAAAAAAAATCACCTCATATCACAACACACTTTTCATCCACTTTTCATCCATAAGGAGTACTGTTGTTTTTTCAACATCAGAAAACACAAACTAAAAGTGTTCAGGTTGCGTTTGATTTTGTCTTTTCTGTCGGGGTGACTCATCTGGTGAGTGCTGAACTAAAGGTCTGCTCTGCTCCATTTGGGACATCTGCAGCTGGGCCCTCTGAACAATCTGCAGCTTAGATGTCATGTGTGCAGCGGGGAACAGAAAGAAACAATGCACGCACAGCTGCAAACATTTACCGTCATGGATTATTCCACTTCCAGACGCACATTTTTCTAGCCTGTTTTATCTGTAAGTTCAATCATCTTTTTTTTTTATTCGATCTACAGCGCTGAGTGGAGTCAGAAGTAGAAGAGATAAGCATATCAGATCATGTCAATGTACAGTAAGTGCTTTGTGGCCGACAGCTCACCCTTCTGGAAGAAAACATGTGTGATGATTGTTCTGCAGAGGGGGCAGGGTGTGTTGGTGGGGCTGTTCTTAGCCAGTGTCCTCAGACAGGGTTCACAGAAGATGTGGTTACAGGGGTGACACATGTAAGGGCTGAGGTAAACATCCAAACACACAGCGCAGATGTAGCCTTCTCTGTCCCCGATGCTCACGTCCTCGTCATCCTCACTGCTGCTGCTGGATGCGTTTCCTGTTGAACTCTGGGAGAGGAGAAAACATGAAATGGTGAAAAGCTGATGCAAACACTTTAGTTTGTTATTCATAGTATTGACTCGGGATGACAGCAACCTCAATGGTTCAATACATTTTACGGTTGTTTGCTCATCCTCTTTATGGTGACTTCAAGCTCTATCCGGAGATTTAGCTTCTCAAAGGCCACAGGCTGAAAAAGTCTTTGATCAATCAGACCAACATCCAACTGCTAAATGCTAATGATGAGCAAGTAGTAGGGCTGGGCGATATGGACCAAAACTCATATCTCGATATTGTTTAGCTGAATGGCGATACTCGATATATATGTATTTTATTAACAGTGAAAACACGTGAAAAATAAACTACCTGTTTGTGAATTTAAAAAGTAATATTATAAAATCAAAATGTTCCTTAAATACAATAAAAGAGAGAGAGAGGAGGAGCAGGGTTAAGAGGGACAGATAGTCAGTCATCATCATTGAGATGAGAAAAAGGTGAACTGGCACTTCTGTAACGTTATTTTAATACAACATAAACTATATCGATATTAACGATATTGTCTTACCCTATATCTTGTTTGAAAATATATCGATATATCTTAAAAACTCGATATATTACCCAACCCTAGCCAGTAGATGGAACCCATTCACATGTGATGCTCGATGAAGATTTTAGAGGCAGCTTGATATGCTCTAGGCATGTTGTTCTCACTTGATGTATTCATTCATTCATATATCTTATTATGTGATGTATACCTGTGTGTGTCTATTTTACCTGTATTTTTTATATATTGACCTCTGGTTAAGAGACAACCGACTCTACCAACTGAGCCACAGTCGGAATTTTAAATAAATTCAGAGATTTCTATTTCAGTCTAATGTTGCCTATATTACTATATTTTTTAGATACTGTTAACAAATAATTAGAATATTTTTGTATTTTACTTTGAAGATGGTTTACTACGTTCACCACGCCAGTAGCCTAGTGGTTCGGGCGCACCCCACCTACGGGGGCTGTGGTCCTCCAAGCAGCCGGTCTGAATTTAAATCTAACCTGTAGCTCTATTTCTTCATGTGTCCACTCTCTCTCTCTCTCTCCCTGATTTCTGACTCTATCCACTGTCCTATCTCTAAACAAAGGCACAAAAATCTAAAAAAAACAAACCTTTAAAAAATGTTTTCATCATTCTAAACATTGTACATTTTTGTTGATACTGCATTATTAGGCTGATTATTGCTTTTTCTGTGTTTGATATTATACTTATAATTGTGTCAATCTGTACTGAGGCAGGTTTAAATCACATGCATCAATTGTAAATATGTGATGCTAAATCTATTTCTGTGGGGCCATGTCTACATGGACTCAGCTTCTCAGACAGTCACATTAAAAACCGACAAAACGTACATTATCGCTACAAGATGTCAACACACCAGCTAGCAATAAATAAAAGTGAAAATATCTTCTTTCAACCTCCCCCTGAGATTCAGTGTAAAACACTTCGCTCTTTTATACACCCCATTCAATGAGTGTAAATGTCTCTGACAGCTATCTGTACAGCGTAATAATATGTGTGAGGGCATGAAGGTGTCAGGTGTGAGTTCTGTAGAATGAAACGTCTACCTTCCTACATTTTCTCACTTCTTACCATAAAGTGTAAACGCTGTTTATAAGAAAGCGCAATTTCACCCTGACGCTGGCTGTAAACTCCATTCATAACAAGAATCAGAGGTGTAGTTATACTCTGCGAGCAAGTTATTGTAGGATATCCTTAAAGTACCGTATGGCCCATGCATACACAGTTCTGAAATACAAAAGATATTTTTCTACGCTGATGATGCCTTGCTCTTTGTTGATTTTAGTCTAATTTGAATTCTTTGATTTTTCAATTTCCAGTTCCAACTATTACTCATATGAGGAGGTGTATAAGCACCTGTTTTGAGGACAGTATCCGGGGCTGCTTGAGTCCCCAACCTGTGTCAGAAGACTCTCTGGGATTTGTGTCTAAAGATACACTCTTGATAAAGCTTAGAGGGCTGCTTCCAGAGTAATTACCACTTTCTTACCCAGAGGGGGCTCCAGGGACTTCCCTGTTGCACCAGCCCTGCCTCCCCAGGTGTGTCATTAACACAGAAGAAGGAACACACAGCTCCCAACTTATCACGGCCAATGAGACTCTCCCCTGGCAACATGCACGATACAGTACGATGGCAGCTTTGACTTGGTTCCATTGATAAATGTGAACTTCACTAGAATAAACACCCTTTTTTATTTATAGGAATGCAAAACTTCAGACACATGTTGACAGGGAGTAAACCTTCACCTCCACCTCTATCAGCTTTACTTTACAAAATGCATTACTAGTGTGAAAAAAAATGTCTACATTTTAAAGAATTGTTATCCTTGTACAATAGCAAGAACAGTTTCTGCAGAAATACAAGTATCGACTCAAACCACATCTCAGCCGACATAAAGCAGCAATTAGAGCAGTTAGATAAAGTCACCAAACAATCCAGCTCTAATTGCCTCTCAATCACACAGGAAGAAACCACTTCATGTGGGAACTGGGATGTCAAGAACACTCAGTCTGACCTTTGACCTACTTTAAACTGTACACAAAAAGTACAACCAGTTACGTAAGATCCAGCCTCATATGTAGGCCGTAAAATTGTCCAAATTCATTTTACGGGGAATGCCGGTGGCCGAGTGGGTAATTTGCGCGGCCCATGTACAGAGGCTGTAATCCTCAGAGCGTGCGGCTGAGGTTTCAAATCTAACCTGTGGCTCCTTTTTCACATTTCATTGCCCACTTTCTCTCCCTGATTTCCTACTCTATCCACTCACCTGTCTCTCCAATAGACGCAAAAAAATCATAAATTTAAATTTATTGTTCATTTAAAATGATCTTAACAAATGTGAAACATATTCAAAAAATAAAACATGCTATAGTGGCTTAAGGCCCTAAAACTTTAAAAGGCAGAAAAGTATGAGAAGTTGTGAGAAATGTTTTGTAAAACTGCAAGTCACACATTACCTGAGTATCTCCCAAGTAGGAGTGAAACTGTGCATGTGCGAAGTTGGACCAATCTGAGAAAAGAGCATGTACACACTCAGCAAGCCTTGATGATGATAAACGACCCGACAAGTTTAATCAGTTTTATCAATAAAAAGAGTTTAAGGGAGTCATTTGGCTAACACGATTATTCACTTCTCTGAGAGTAAGAGAGGATGATTAATTCAATTCTTATGAGTTTGATTTTGTATGGAGATTAGCTTAGCATTAACACTGGGCACGGGGAGATGCAAATATATTTATCAAGTACTTTAAAATTAATTTCTAGTGAATTTGTTTTTTAAGTTGTACAGAGACAGACATGTTAAGACAACAGCTCTAGTGTTGAAGATGTGATTTTAAAGTCAGCAAATGTAGCAAAACAGTCAGTAGCATAGAAACCCCGCACTATTTGTCAGGATGCACTGTAGTTATAGCACAGGAGTTAGTCCTGGTGAAACTTCATTGAAATTCTTTATATATCTGTTTGCGTTCAAATCAAAGAAACAAAAGATTAACATTAAAGAGCTTTGAGATGTAATTATGAGCATTGTTTTTTCTTTGGTTGAGCCTAGCTAGGCCTAGCAGTTAACTACGAGTCCTCATGCTAAGCTAAGCTAATCATGTACTTAAAGTTGCACTGCAGAACATTTACACATACATTATGAGATTACATATTGTAGATTAAACCAATCATTTTAATCTCCCAGTATATTTGCTGTATGTTGGTGAATTTACTGTGCTAGCGTACCAATAGTCATGCTATACATCGGAGAGAAGAAGGATCTAAGAAAAGTTTCTGATGCTCCAGGGAGAAAAGGAAAACTCAATCCTTCGAGGATGAGATGGTAAAAAAAGTTTGCTAAAAAGAGGTCTCTTGCTCATCTTCACATTCTTCGCAAGAAACCTAAAAAACACATATTCCAAATTTACCAACTATTAGTCGAAAGGAAAAAAAGCCCCCAAAAATACTGCTCCTGCTTTAGCTGAATGCATCCGTGGAGCACGATGCAGCCGATTTAAAGAGGTGTTGACAGAAGAGGGTTGAGTTTTTGACCGCTAAATGACCATTAAGCTAACCTTGTGGTACTTGAGTAGCAAGTTGTAAAAGATTTTAAAAACCTTATCATGGTGGCTCTATAATCTGTTGTCCCCAACAGAAATAAACACACAATTCTATCTGCTAGAGCCAGATAATTGGAGTGAAAATATCTTAACTTTAACGATATAAAGAGAGGTGGGGAATGAAATGATGAAAAGCATATTATCTGATTTAAAGCTACGGATTCTATTCTCTAATTCAATAGTAAAAAATAATCTCAATCTACCCGTCTACTGAAGATCTGCAGCTGCCAATAAAAAAAAAATAATAATCTGCTCTTTTGTCTGGCTGGTTTGAAGGGCTCTCTGCCCGAGCCTCATCATGGAACTAATTCAGATGTAACCCCTCTTTAAACCGCACAGACAATGGCTATTGAGATTAGTACACATTGAGCCAAACACAGTCACACAAAATTGCAGGACAAAGTGGCCACGATAGTCATATAGTGGTTCTTATCATCTAACAGTCTGTTGTAAGTCAGGTGATTGTGGGATTTAAAACACTGGGATTCCACTCAGAAAAGACTCAGACTCAGAATAAGCATCTTTAGAGTTACGTTCCATGTGCCTGTTCAGTTGAAGCAGTTTGATGGGTGCATATCATGATATGTTGTGGGGTTTTGGAGAAAAGATATTGGGTAGGTGAAGCAACCAAATCTGACGCTATGACAACAGATTTTCACTTTAATGCTATGAAAAATCTGATGTATTAAACGTATAAACAAAATACTAAAGAGGACATGCGGGCGAGCAGAGAAGAGTGTGAAGCAGCTTGATTACGTGCAGGACGATGGTGGTCGCAGGATATAAACATCGTCACCCCTGCCATCTTGCTCGTGGTAAATTATTAGTATTAGCTACTGCATTCACATATCGGCGCACACTGACAGCTTTTGGAAATGTCTTTAGTGTGCTAGTAGAAAAACAAATTGGGTTGAATAATTTGCCTGTTTGCAGCAAGTGCAGCTCAACCTGAAACTTTTGTGCAATGTCCAGGAGTCTTGTGCACGTGTCAGAAGGCTACTAGTCAAAAACTGCAAGACAGTAAAGAAAAAGTGGTTTAGTCTGTGACAAGAGCTAGACAGAGACCTGCAAAAAGTGATTCTGAGGCAGGTGACATGAGATATTATGATAAATGATCTGGTTAATGTGTCCTTCACCTGTCTGTTCTCCTGCAGTTGACTCTGTCTCCACCTCTCCCGTCTCCTCTGCCTCCTCCTCAGACACTTCATCCTGTTCTTCTCTCTTTTATTCATCCTCCTCTCCCCAAAAGGAACACATGCCGGCACAGCTACTGAGGTCACAGCTTGACTCATCTCCTCCATCACACCACTTCCTCCTTCCTCTCCATCCTCTACTTCCTCTTCTCCTATCTCTGAACTTGTGACAGATGGGTTCGGCGTCCGAGTCGGGTGGCTTTGCCGGAATCTTCTGGCTGCTGCTCCAGTTCTCACGTCCACCCAGAATGGATCCGCTTCTCTGGATGAGCTAGAGGAGTTGCGGGGAAGTTCTCCTGCGGCTGTCCTGGATGTAAATCTCTGTGGGGTTGGAGGAGTGGATCTTGTTTGGATATGGGGCTGAGAGAGAGCCGAAGACCTCACTGCTAGCCAAGGGGATTGTGGGTTTAAATTGGTATTGCGAGGTCCAAGACGCATGAAGCTGTTTGACCCTTCTCCCACTTCCACAGTGCTGTTTACCGGGACATCAGAATTACTACTTGACAAACTTTCAGTGCTTTCCCTTCCCTCTCCGTCCTGATCGGCGTCTGCATGTTTCTCAGGTTTTAAAACCTTCCTCTGTCTTTGTTTTCCTTTTTCTTCAACCCGTCCGACATTTTGATGCTCCTCTTCCCTGTCATGGTTTCCCTCTCTCTGTCTTCCTCCTCTGTTGTCCTTACTGCAGGTTTTTCTATGTGCCTTCCTCCCTGGCAGGGCAGGTCTCACCAGCTGATCCACACTTCTTGATCTTTCCTCAGCAGCTAAATCTACAGGTTTTATTCCCCTCAAATGGCGGCTGTTAGTCTCAATGTTACTGTATCCTTCATCAGCGTCTTCAGATCCGGGACGTCCAATTCTGCTCGAGCCACTCGCCCCAGAGGATCCAACTTGGGAGCTCATGCTGGCCCTAGGCAAGCCCCTCAGCCACCGGCGAGGAACATCTGATGCGACTTCAAGCAGCTACCCAGGTCTTTCCCTTCTCGTCCTCCCCTAAGTCATCTCCTCTCCTCCCTCTCCTTCTGGTTGAAGAGTTTAAACCTTTATTTAATCTCCACATGGACTGTTCCAGTGTAGAGGAGGTGAGCAGTGCAGCCCTCTAGGCCCAAATTCAAACCCCTTTTCGCCCCCTGGGTCATTCCACACTGCTGACGAAGTCAAAGTCCCCCTGTTGAGCCCCACTACAATAGATGCAGTGTTCATGGCCTCGCTATTGTTCTGTGTGGCCTATAGAAACACACCGCTATGCAACCACTGAGTGTACAAAAATAAGGTGAATAAACCAGAGCCACCTTTTTCTCCCTCATGTCCAGTCCCATGTTGTCAGCATTTTTTTTTCTGTGTGTTTTATAAATAAAGATTGTGTGTGTGTGTGTGTGTGTGTGTGCATGTAGCTGTGTTTATATTACTTCTTAGACTTCTTATTGACAGGGATTTTATTTCTATAGCTCCATTGCCAAAGATATCCAGTGTTAGTGCACCTAAGAAACGTTCAGGCCTTTATTAATATATTTGTAGAGTCATGAACAGGCTGCATCAAAGTTTCAAGAGAGAACATTTGTATAAGACAGACAAGGCGATTGTTCTTTATAGGGAAGACAACAGCAGCTTCAGAGAAGACAAGTACACGCACCAGAACTCCTTAATGCCATTTTTAATTACCAACACATATCTATCATATCTAACTATCACAGAAATCAGACACTGAAGGAGTTAAATACAAAATAAAAATAAACTAGGCCGAGGACCAAGGTATCTGCACTTTTGGGGTCTGTAAGGTTCTGAAATTTTCAGGATCAGGAACAGGATCATGCACTAATGGAGAGATGTCAGAGTGACGGGCTGCACATGAAAGAGTACCTAAACAGTTGGGGGTTCTGTGCCTTGCTCAATGGCACTTCTGCAGTGTCAAGGAAGCACTGTCACCTCTCCAGCTATCAGCCCAATTTCCAAACTTGGTCCACAACGTGGCTTAAACGGGCGACGCTCCAGTTCCCGACCCAAGTCCCAACAGACTGAGCTACTGCCGGCCATAAATGCTTTTGTTGTAATTTGTTTAATGAGTCTAAAATGTCTATAAGTTACTTCAATTAACTTTTAACATGTTCGGCTTTTTACTTTCTTCAAATATCACGTCTCTATAATCTTGTATAAAATGTAAAATGTTTCTTTTTTTGTTATGCTTTATATCATAATAAAGTTGATCTAATCTAATAACTGATGGTGTTTTTACACACTACGCAGACTAAATGATTCTTAATATCTTCATTATCATTATAATTACTACATTATTACTGTCTGATATGTTTTTGATCGCTATCTGAAGATAAATAGTACTTGATTGTCTTGCAGCTTGGTTTCTGTTTTCACAGACATTCGAGGTTGGATTGCCGATCAGGCAAAAGATGCTCGGATGCTCTTCCTCACTCAGACCTGAGCTCCAGCATTGCAAAGCTTGTTGAGGTGGAACCAAAGTGGACTTAAAAAAACATTGTAATTTCTCTACCCTCCACCAGCTCGTCTCCACCAGCCCATAAGGTAAAGGAGATCCATCGGTCACACAGCCAACTTGCACAAACTGTGACTTACATTATTTCCAGGATGAGGTAAAGAGTTCCAGTAGTTCTTAAGGCCGGAAGGCCATCAAGTCCATGAGTCCTGATCTGACTTTGAGCAGAACGAGAGAGAGAGAGAGACAGAGACAGAGAGAGAGAGAGAGAGAGAGAGAGAGAGAGAGAGAGAGGGGACTTGTTGTCCTGAAAAGACTTCCTGAAAAGACTTCCTCATCCAGTGCTACTGTGAGAGAAGGCATGAGGTCTGCTCAGATAGACATAGAGATGTGCGGCTATGAAGAGCTTGAAGATGAGACAACAGAAGGATCCTAAAATGTGGTGGGTGATGGTTCCCTGGCTACATACTGTGGTTCTGTAGCTCTGCTCCGAGAGCTCTGTCGGTCATCGTCAGCTAGACTGTGTGTGTCTCACTTATGACAAAGCTGTTCTTTAGGTGAACAAGACAGAGAAAAGTGATCACTTCTTAAACGTCTTTAACAAGAACTTCTCAAAGGAAAGAGGCATTTTCAGTAGAATTCTAACCAATGAGACAACTTTCAAAGTGCACAGGAATGAAGACTTAATCACTGTATCCCTCTTCTGACCCCTTTTTTTTTTTTTTATAAAATGTGCCCTGACTATCTTCCTGGACTGGAGGTTACAGTGATGCAGGGACGTTGATGGGGTTTTGTGTGTTTTTTTTTTTTACAGCTGGGAAAATGTTTAGTCAGTCATGGTGGTTAAAAGAGCCACTCTGTTTTTTTTAGATACTCTCATTATGTCCTGTCATTGTTTCAAAGATTTCAAGGTTAACCTTTTTTAAACAGACCAGTTTAGCACAGTGACTTGAATGTTATGTAATTATGCATGAGAAGTACTAAATCATAGCTTATCATGAGCTCATCGTGCTTTTTATAAAAGTAACAGATTTATGAAGCTTGAATTTCTTTGTCAAATCTGTTTATGGACATTATTTTTCTTCTTAGTAATACATTATTGACCGTGTATGGTAGTCTCAGCACCAGAAAAGACTTCTCTCCACACTGCGCATGTCAAAACAGAAATATACTAATATTTATCTCTATCCTGAAATTAATTGTATATTTTCCCTCACCAGTTTTTTTTTTCAGACTGTCTTCTGATTCAGTGCTAGTATTATATAGGCTATTATTATAGGCTGCCAAAATTGGAAAAAAAAACAAACGTTTTGATTCCAGGGAATCATCCATTCCTATCACGCTGTTTCCTCACAATCTCTTCAACCCTATACATCTGCATAAGCTCTTCCTCTCTCTCTTCCTACAGTATCTGTCCTGACATTACAGTCACAATGCGCAACTGGTTAGTATTTGATGCAGTAACCTCTATGAACGGCAGATGGCAGCAGCTCTCCTCTCTGGGCTGAGGAAGCGCTGTCCATGGTCCTGAAACTACCCCTCGCTCTCTCATCGCTCTGGGAATGATGCTGTTCTCTCCAACCGGCTTTAAACGACTTATTTAGTCCGTAAACAGTCTAAACTTTTCCAAACTCGATTACAATTTCTTGAATGAAAAGAACTAGTGAATGATAAAAAAAAAAAAACTTAATCGTTAACCAAATATTTTGACTTGCGTTCTTAAACTTTATTTGAAATAAAGTTTCAAGTGTGTATCCTGGCTGACACCTTACATTGTAAGATAAAAAATAAAAGCAATCCACAAAAAAGTGGCCTTCGATGTGTCCCAAGTAAAACAAACAAAAAAAAAACTGTTGAGGAAGAAGTAAAGGAAAAGAGTAGCTGCGCGCACTCCTCAGCTGTCTGCAATGAAAAACGGAGCAACACGGAGAGCAGAGGCACAAAATTCCGGGGCGACCTCCACACGGTCTGACGTACCCGAAGCTGCTCGTATAAATGAATTCACGGCGTCACCAAGCTCAGATGATTCGCAGTACCAGTGAGCGCACCCGGCTGTCAACACTCACAACCCCCTACACACACACACACACACACACACAAACTCACACACACAAGTCTGCGTCATGCGTCCTGAGAGCGACGGCACGAACGCGGTAACTCCGATGGATGCCGGTGAAACGCACAGCGGCAGCAGCAGCAGCAGTCTGAGGGGCTGACTGTGTCCTGCTTATTCGGAAAAGTTGCGCTCCGAGTGCAGTCACATTATGGATTTTATTGCCACAAGCAGCAACGACAGCAACGCCACCAGCGGTTACCCTGGCGGGACGGACGTGGTGGCCGACTGGGGCGCGGGTGAGAATGCCACGGGGTCTCGGTCCCTGCCAGATGTGGAGCTCAGTTACCAGATTATCATTTCCCTGCTCCTGGGGGCCCTCATCCTCTGCTCCATATTTGGCAACGCGTGCGTCGTGGCTGCCATCGCCCTGGAGAGATCTCTCCAGAATGTTGCCAACTACCTGATTGGATCCCTGGCCGTCACAGACCTCATGGTATCGGTACTGGTTTTACCAATGGCGGCCCTCTACCAAGTTTTGAACAAGTGGACACTGGGACAGGAGGTCTGTGATGTGTTCATTTCTCTGGATGTACTTTGTTGCACTTCATCCATCCTGCATCTGTGCGCAATAGCCTTGGACAGGTACTGGGCAATAACGGACCCCATAGACTATGTAAATAAGCGGACACCGAGGCGAGCAGCAATCCTGATAAGCGTAACTTGGCTAATTGGTTTCTCCATCTCTATTCCGCCCATGTTAGGCTGGAGAAGCGCCGAAGACAGAGCGAACCCCGACGCCTGCATGATCAGCCAGGATCCGGGCTACACCATCTACTCCACATTCGGAGCTTTTTACATCCCTCTCATCCTCATGCTGGTCCTGTACGGGAGAATATTCAAAGCAGCTCGGTTTCGGATTCGAAAGACGGTGAAAAAACCCGAGAAAGCAAAAGTGTCCGACAAGTGTCTGAGTGTGTCTCCGGCCATCTTCCACAAGAAAACAAACGGCGAGGCCGGGGTCAAAGGCTGGAGGCTCAGCGACGACTCAAAACCCAGCTCTCCGTGCGTAAACGGCGCGGTGAAGCACGGGGAGGAAGGGGAGTCACTGGAGATCATAGAAGTTAGCAGCAACTCAAAGACACACCTGCCCCTGCCCAACACTCCTCAGTCCTCCTCGCAGGGTTATGAAAACATGAATGAGAAGAACTCGGGTGCGAAGAGGAAGATCGCGCTCGCCAGGGAGCGCAAAACGGTGAAAACACTCGGGATCATCATGGGAACTTTTATCTTCTGCTGGCTGCCGTTTTTCATCGTCGCGCTGGTTTTGCCTTTCTGTGCAGAGAGCTGCTACATGCCCGACTGGCTGGGCGCTGTCATAAACTGGCTGGGCTACTCCAACTCCCTCCTCAACCCCATCATATATGCCTACTTTAACAAAGACTTCCAAAGTGCTTTCAAGAAGATTATAAGATGCAAATTCCACAGAGCCTGAACAAACGTAAAGGGAGGAAATGTGAAATGATTATTAAACGGACAGCAGGAAATGTTCACTGACTGTTTTGAACAGCTAAAATGATGGCCCAGACTTTTATTCAGGGACTGTCTCTTTTCGGGTTGTGTTCAAGAACCGTGTGAAAAAAAAACAACAACAGAAAACAAGGGGTCACTGTTGAAATGAGACACAAAACAGGAACTTTCGCTCTTAATGTACAAGCTCATGTTTATTAAGTGTTGTAGCTCCAGTATATAGCCTATATGCGACGGCAGCCATCGTTGTATTGCCATGCAAGACGTATCATGTGCTGATTCCATGCATTTTTACAAAGAGACGTGCAGGGGGGTATGCGTCCAATACGTCATGAGCTTTGTAGCACTGAAACAATAAAAGCAATCAAAGTTTGTCATTAAGAAAAAAATGAGTCGAGTTTTGCTTAGAGAATAAGAAGTTATGAGGCAGGAAGAAATCAGGGTTGTTCAAAATTCCCCCTTCTGGTCATATATTTGTGTAAAGATTATGAGGAATTAATCGTTCACTGTGCTGATGAGCAGACAAAGCAGGGAGAAACTCATCAGCTTGCTCTGACAGGCCACACTGATGTCGCTGATGGAGGGGGGGGGGGGTCAGGTTATCAGAGCACAGTGTGTGAGGTCTTTCAGTGAATGGGTATCGAACACACAGCTGCCTATCCATCAAATGCACATCAAAGTCGAAAGCGAAAGGAGATGGGCAATTTTCTTCTAAAATGGAGGCTGGTATTACATTTACGGTATAATGGTTCTCAGTCTCTTCCATTTATCTCCTTTCTTTTATCCCCCACCCCACGTTTTATCCCATCTCTCCATTCCAGACTCACTGATTGTGTGTGAAGGAAAAAAACAGAAGCAAGAATCGACTCTGAGGGAAAGATTACTGAAAAGCATCAATGTTGTTTCTCTACATTATAAAACAGCTTCATTTCCCATTAGGGCCTACTGTGCACTAATGTTTGTGAAGACAGCTGGTTGCATCATTAAGAAAATCTGCGTAGAATCTCTCGGCTCCTCACAGCACATGATGCACTGTAGAGGGTTTCTCAGAGAGAGAGAGAGAGAGAGAGAGAGAGAGAGAGAGAGAGAGAAAGACCATAATATAGAAAGAGATGCAGGAAACTTCCTCACTGTAACACTGACCTCGTTTGTCAAAACAAATCCGCTTACAGTAGATACAAAGATAAAAAAAAAAAAGAAGAAGACAGTAAGAGAGAGGAAAAACAACTTTCAGGAAGAAGCCCCAGCATCCCTTGCAAGATGGGGGGTCTTATAGGGCCACGTTGTCATGGAAACACCTCAAGCCCACGGCCTCATTTGAGAGTGGGCAGGTACTGAGTGTGGATGTAAGATTCTACATGATGACTGAGAGGTGACACCTGTGGCATACCAACGTCTTCTGGTGAAATGGTCTGATTCTTATCAAGGTGCATGAACGTTACACGACTTAAAAGTGTCCACATGTTTTAATCTTTAATGATTCATCAATGTTTTACTGTTTATTTACCGGAAAGCATTTCTAAACAGATTAAAAACTACTTACAACACACTTTAAGAGACATTTAATTTAACTTATTGATGTTTTTGTCAACAACTTTAACTCCTAATGTAATTGTGTCAGCCTCTAAAATACGAGGATTAGATTGTTTTCTTTGACTTTTTTTATAATATAGTTAACTTAAAACTAAATGTCTTTAAGGACAAGAGTTTAAAAACAAATGTTTGAAGCTGTAAATTTGACTGGTTAATGCCCCAAACAAGTAATAGTAAGGACAATCAGTAGATTAATCATGAATGAAAATAAGTACAGATGACAGTTCGATGAGTACAAAATGTGTAGGCCAAATGTTGATGATAAAAACTGAATCAGGTGTTCAAAAAAAACATCAAACAAAACTGATCAACAGGTCATGAAGGCTCTGAGACAGGAAGTAAAAAACAAAATCAAAAAGCCATAACTAGTTGTAAAAAGTTTGAAAAAGTGTCTTTAGGAAAGTGGGCTGTAAGGAGAAAGTCATTAAAAGGCCGTTTCTCTCTCTCTCTCTTTTTTTTTCATGTGATCACTCCTTTCTCCGTGGGGCCTCCGTGCCACATCAGTGTGCTCAAAATGCTTTTTGGGAAAATTAATCTCAAACCTGTGACCCGCAGGTCAACTTCTGGGCTTTACGACCAGCTCAGAGAAGCCCTTAGAGGACGTGTGAGCGAGCGAGCTGCCGAGCAAGAAAGAGTTTTATTTTTTGTGTAAGTCCATTAAAATCATTACATTTCGGTTCTGATATATGGGATTACAGAGCTGCTGACCTCCTCTGAACTGTGCTGTAATATCAAAGGTTTGGATTCTACCGAGGACTGCATTAATCTCACCCACTCGGGGAGTCTTCCGTGAAATGTGGGTGGGCGGATGATGACGCAGGAGCATTTCTTTAAATATATGGGAGAGGAGGAAGAGGAAATAAAAGGAGTGGAATGAGAAGAGAGGAAAGAAATGGAAAGGAAAGGAGAGATAAGGAAACAAAAAGGAGAGGAGGATTATATCAATTGAACCACTGACTGGGGGATTATGGGGGTTTATTACACGTGTTCCACTGCCCTCTGGCCTAAAACTGGGGAAAAGTGTATCAGATTCTGCTGATGCGGTCGAGTGTTATTGGTCCTATAGGATCATTTTAAAGACGATGAACATCAGGTTAAAGAACGAAAAGACATGTGAAAATATGGAGCTTTGGTTATCTCCAATCTTCTCCGTGCACAGAAAGAACGTTAAACATTTATAGATTTTTAATAGAAAAGGAACACTGGAAATAACAAGTCTTTATTCCACACTGAAACCTTTCCATTTTAAAGTGGCATTTAATGTGGCTACATGATTGTAATATTTACAGAGTGCTGTTTTTTTTTTTTTTAATCGACTACAAGATCAATAACAAACATATGCTATGTGAAAATGTTTTCACTGTCGGCATTAGAGCTTTCCTTATCAAGTTAATATCATAACGGCTGTTTAAAGCTCAGACAATAAAATAAGAACATCTACTCATTGAATCTGATGACTTTATTATTGTACTTTATGTTTCTGTTATCAGAATAGAGTTTAATGGCGTCACACAATATTGTTTTAAAGATATGTTTTAAGCCATTTTTGTCTTTATTAGATAAGACAGCTGAAGAGAGACGGGTAACGTTGGGAGGAGAGAGTTAGGTGATGACATGCTGCAAAGGACCAAGGTGGGATTCGAACCCACTGCTGCTGTGAGGACGACTACAGCCTCTGTACACGAGGAGCACAACATAACCACTAGGCTCTCCGGCACCCCCTTCACACATCGTTGATGTGGATAACTTTCTTCTAACTTTAGAGGAATTGGTGCAAAATTGTGAGCGGAGAAAACATCAAGATCTTTTTTTAATTTATTTTGGATTCATGAATAATTCTGTTTAACATGATGAACATCAGAAAGACAAAAACTTTGATTTAAAGTGAATATGAACTCTTTAGTTTATGTAAAATTGAAAGCACTTCATATCATTATAGCGATATTGAACTCTGCATATTTCTCTCATATCGTGCAGCTGTAATTCTGATTATACAACTATGAAAGCAGATGTTCTTCACCGCTCACTTCAAAGTGATTTTTTTTTAACTTTTGTTATTAGTGATACTTTTCAAATGGCAATCCCAAAATAGACCCACAAACAAAATAGAGTTTAAGCTGCATTGAAAGGAAGAAGGACCGCTTTGGTGCTATTGTTGCGTAGACAAACGGCATTGTCTAAAAAGTATTGTTGTTGCATAAGGAATAAGGTTCTAGAAATGAGGAACACGGCATTACATTTGAGTGTTTCATGGTCTAATAGTGGAAACACAGAGTGGATGTAGGTTCTGGTTAAGTCTGGTTACATCATTGTCACATGTGTAACGTTTAACCAATTAATCTCAAAGACTCATTGTTGGAGTAAGTCATTAAAATAATAATAGACAGCAGGGAAGAAAAAAACGTCCATCTTATCCGGTCGGCAGAGATGATGCGTTTTTTTCTCTGTAAACACTGAGAACGAGTTAAAAAAGTTAAAAACAAAAGGTAAAATGGAAGTTATTTGAAAGTTGTAGGCCATATAAAGAAGGAAGAGAAAGACAGAGTCAGGAAAGGGATTCAAAGGACAATGGGAGGAGGAAAGAAGCAAAGACAAGGAGAAAGTATGAAAGAGACAGATATGACAGAACACTCAGCACAACACATGTTTCTGCTTCGCCCCCTCCTACTGCAGGGTCTTTTTGATCAGTCAGAGTTTTTTCGAGGATCTCGCAGCCCACAGCCTGTCATCCGCCCGAGGCTCCCTCTTCCCACTTTCCCTCAATCCAAGCCTGAGAGAATCACACAAAGGTAAAAAAGCACCAGAAAACTCCTTTTGACGGGCATAAATAAAGGGGGTGTCGGGGTTCTGATTTGCACTTTTTTTTTTTTCACCATATTTAGAAATAAGGAGCATCATTTTAGTTTGACAGGGTATCCGAACATGATGTAAACATGCATAAACAATAGCATCTCTGTCGCACAAACACTAGTCACTCAGCTGCAGGGCAAGCAACACATGTTCAAGGACGGCAGCAAACACACAAGAGGTAAGAGTTAACAACATCTAGTGAGTTCTGCCGCTTCCACAAACAATCAAAACACAAGAGGAATGAGAAGTCGTGCTCCAATGCCCACTGCTGTTGGTTTTACAGCCGGTGACAAATACCTGAGTTATTTTGAAATTTCTCTTAATTTCCCTTTCCCCTTTTTTCCTCCCAGAGGATCACCCTGTGCTTTTAAAAAGTGTCATTACGCTAGACCTTTGATGGAAAAAAAAAAAAAAGTGTGGGTAAACACAGAGTGGATGAGGATGAGGTGGAGTACTAAACACTGACTGTGTGACACATTGTCTAAACAAAGGCCTCTCCAAACAGCACAAAACCCTCTCAGTTTGCCTGCAGGCCGTGAATACTTTAGAGTTGCTTTATTTTTTCTGTGTGAGTGAGTGAGTGTGTTTTTTTAAGCATGAGAGTGGGGGAAGTTAAGGGATCGCATACACAAAGTTTAGGAAGCTATTTAAGTGCAACTACTTCAACAACTAGACCATTTAAATGAAAAACTTTGTCGTTATATACTACGACAAATGTCAGTTCAACATTCAGCCCAACTTTAACTTTACTTCATGAAAGAAAGGGGAAACATCTGTCCACAACCGATGTTGAACAACTCACAGAGACTGACGTGAGGCAAATTAAAACTGAATGCTTACCAGTAAAATAAATAAATGCTTAAACCAACCACACAGGCTCTGAACCCGTTCATCAATTAAAAACAAAACATTAAACACGGGGGGTGTAATAAAAAGCTGGGTTTTTGGTTATCAAGGTAACTTCAGGGTTGTCAGTGCTATGAATATGGCTCCATTTTGACCAGGTAACCATGGTAACTTTTGCTGAACACATAACCTCTGTTCAAGACAATCCGGTGAAAATCTCCACCTACTGACCAATCAGATCTCTTGATCACAGAGGTCTGTGAGCTGATGGAGAGAGAG